ATGTTACCATCAAGGGTAACTTTGTCAAATGTAAACTACCTCTACCTATCTCTTACAGTTCCCGAGATCCCCATGGTGGCCTTTGAATTTGAATCACCCTGTATAGGTCAATTATTACACATTACACTAAACTGACTAAACTAATACTAATATGTAATAGGTACAACTATCATTGAATAAAGAGCTTTATTCAATGGAACTATTGAAGTTCAAAAAATTTAATTTGCCACTAGGTATGGATTATAAATTACGGTATTTTAATCTGCAATCAGCAAAGATAAAGAATAGGGAAGACGGTCAAACAAATCGCATTACAAATAAACACCCACACAAGGTCGCATCTTGCCAGACATCAACAACAATATACAACAGCCCATTGTTCTAAAAATTACGTAAAATTTTGATATTTGTTGTAAAGGAATGTTACCTATCCCCATTTCTATTATTTATTTCATAAAACGATAGATAGAGGAGGTACCTTTTGGGCTTTTGCAATGAATAGGAAAGAGAAACCAAATAAATTTCGAAGCAAGTAGTTGACAAAATAAAAATATACCAGTGAACGATCTTTTTCTTGCTGTCAGCAAATTTTATTACACGCACGCTCTGTTCAACCTTGAAAGAGAATCGCTAAATGATTTAGCATAGGCAACTTACATAGCCTGCTAGTTTTTTTTTGCTCGTAAATTTTTGGTCTTTTATTATCCCCACTAGTACTAGCCTAGTTAAAAAGTAAGAACAACTCCATCGCAAGATAAAAACGCTTACCTATTTCATATCTTTATCGTATTTTTTACTGACTTCATAAAACTCTTGGTGGCACCCTCTGTGAGAAAGAAGCTACACTGTTGACCGCGATATTAGTCACAGCTGCGTAGTTTATTTCCATTTCTCCAGTTTACATGCCCATTTTTCAGAACTTCATTCACCACTTTTTTTATGAAAACTTTTGAGCTTCACATGAATTGCCAAAATATAGATAAGTATTCAGCTACCGATCCCATACACCGTATTGCTTAAAATGCTCCCTAATTTTTGCAATTAATTCCTAAACTATGAACTCTTTTGACGCATGTTTTCTGGATTTTTTAAACATATATTAATGGACAAAATATCAGTTTATATTGTATGGAAACTATGCTCTGTACATCTATCTACCTAATGCATATTTTTCCGATCATATACACCCCTTGCTTATGGAATGGTGAATGAAGTTCAGAGGCAATGCACGCCCCATTGAATTACATGTGCATCACCAGTTGCCTATACTCTCTAAATCCAAACCTTAAGTCTCATTCTGCCGAGAGAATTTCTTAAAAAGTTCATAGTAGCACTGCGATTACGTATATCAATTTGATACAAAAATTGCAGCTTCTCAGTTTTCATATCCTGTTATATAGTAGGTAAATGTACACATTTCAAAATGAATGTGTAATTACTGTTAATCTGTCGTAAAAAATGATACAACACTAAGGAATTAAATTTAAAAAGTCATAAGCTCATCTTTATGGGAATTTCCATTCAGTGTGCGTACTGCTCATGGCGTACGATACCTGGTGGTACACTGGCGGCTGGCGCCCCTAGGCACGTGCCTACGTGCCTAACCGGTAAACCGGCACTGGCTGGGTTCCTATGCAAAAGAGGATTAAGTTAAGTAGGCGCCTCTTAGTAAATAAAACAATTTTCTGCTTCTTAATACTTGTCGGTCTCGTATTTAAAATTGTCACTGGCAGCGTCTTTTGCATATTTTTTGTATTAGTAAAAAGACTCCTCTCCCACGTACTATAAACTGCACATTTGTGTACCTACATAGCCTGCTACATAGTAATAAGTTATTTAGTCTGCTCAAGTAACCGCTGAAAATTTTATTAGCAAATTTCGGCGTACATATTTATTTTAATTTGTAACAAATTGACGTTCGACGAGTATACAAATTTATTTAACAGTTAAATCTTGTCAATTTCAAAGTAAATAAATATTTTTATATTTTTGTTCGAAAATGCCCCCCCCTCAACCTTCGTTCGACAACGGGATTTGGCACGGATCAGACGTAACCCTGCTTTTTTTAGCCACTTCGACCACTGTTCCTAGTGCTCAAGTTTTGAGACAATGGGGTCATCCCGCCTTCATTTTTTATTTATGATCCTCAAAGTACATTAAAAATAAAAAGTCCTCAATTTTTATTTGCGAGTAAAATAAACCCAAAATAAATTATTGAAAAGCTGTGTTTTTAGTCCGAATTTGAAACGCTTCAGACTAAATACGTCACAAACCTACAACCAATCACGTAGAAGTGAGCTGGCAACCTTACGCGAGGGTCTGACGTTTGTCACATTTGACGTTTTGAGAGGGATGTTTAACTGCATCTAGCACGAAAGTGACAAGTGCCTGTGACAGATGACGCAAGTTATAAATGCCATTCTCCTGCAATATTGTCAAGTCGTTATGTCATCTGAATGGTTCTAGGAGCTGATTGGTCGGGCTTATTACGTCACAGAGCCCGCCACAATCATATCGTTTTGAATAAACCTTTAAAACCGCACATGTTCATTATTTTTTTTCTAATCAGCCTCTATTTTTAAATAAACTTTTACTGTCCAAAAAAATGTTTTATGGTTTCAGGTACACGCTTATTAAATTAGAACTGCGGAATTCAACTATACTGTAAACCCCCATTGCAGCTTTGGAAATTGACATGTGTCACAGTAATTTATTTGGAAAACGTGAGGTTCGTTAATATTGGGTTAATGCACCAAGAGAGTGCACATCATGGCGGCTCCCATGTAGGTGTCATTTGTTAATTCAGCATTAGCAGTCCATCTTAATTTATAAGTTCGTGGCGGCCTCACACCTCGTAATTTTATTTACAGGCCTACGCCCTCGGCAGAATCTAGCCTGCGGGCTGCGCCCCCTTAGGCCTTATGGAAATCAAGCACAGGCCTGAGAAATAGAATGACATGCAGTTCGCACGTTTAGGATGCGCGGTAAAATTAACTTCGAGTTCCGGAAATCCGAGATGTGTGCACAGGGTGTCATTCGATTCGGCACGTCGAATGCTTTCGAATGATATCGGGTCCGTAACTCTAGATGCCCATAGGAATGAACGTAACGAAACTTGATATCTACAATAGGAGTGTAATAGCATATAATCTTAGATGGAATCGATCTCCAAATGTAATGAAATTTCCTCAATGTTATTTGGCCTAAATTGGGACTCCATGGTAGCTCATGGCGTCTCAATCTGCTTCCCCCTCGAAAATTGTATGTATTAGTTTGAATTAACGTGCATTAATTTGAATTAACGTGAATCAAATTGAATTAAAGTGAATCAATTTGAATTAAAGTGAATTAATTTGAATTCGAGTGAATTAACATGGACGCGAAGTATTTTCAAATCACCGACCCTGTTTTATGAATTTGAAACTTTATTAGACATTTGAGCTAGGTATTTACATGCAAGTAATATCAACTGTAATAGGCACTCCTGGATAAGTATCCTAATTTATCAAATTGCCAAGATATTATGCTCATCTTGCACGGGGCCAATCTCAAAGCTTTGTGTGCGTTTTGTTTTGAAGAACATACAAATTTTCTTCTGGGATTTCAGCCGAACGGTACAACACCAACCTCTTTGTATCGAAATAAAATGAAAACGGGACCTTATTTGTGCTCCTACATGTACGGTAAAACGATATTAAAGCCTCAGTAGCAACATTTTGAGGCAAAAATCTTCACTAAACCCCCTTTAGAGACTATACTCTGGCAAGCATTGGTATATTATTTAACTTATATCGCTAGTCTCTGAAGACTACCAACAGAATAGTATCCGAAGGAGGCATAAATAAATCGTTACATACCATCGTTCTACCATGGTATTTTAACGAAAGGTTTCATCGAAATGAATTGGTTTGTTCAAACTGCTATACCTAACTTTCCCGCACAACTCTTTTTCAAGATCAGTGGCGACGACCGGGTGGAGAGTCATGGTATTCTAATTAAAGGTCTGGACAATAGGAACTGTTTTCACCAACTACCGCGCTTCTTTTTGGCCCCTTACCAAAAGAGGGGGTGAACTGGTTTCTTTCTTTATGGTACTCTAACGAAAGGTCTCAGCGAAATAAATTAATTCCTACCCACCATAGTCATAAGAACATAAGAACAGATTGTCGGAAGAGGGTAGGCACTCACAAATGACGACTTAAAGTTTACGAATTTGTTTTTGTTGGTCATATCTGGGTGGTCATTAATTAAAATAGCTTGCACTGCCCTTCTACCCCCTATACTTGAATTATTTAATAAACATATATCATACATACCAAACTAAAGTTTAAATACAGTGTAGTTCTTTTGAAGACGCATAATAGATATAAATATACATAAATTGTAGTTCCTTTCTGTGATACAGAATATTTTTAAGGGGTCGGGTCGGGTCTTCTTCTAAGGCAACCCATCTCAGTCTGTATTTGCAAAATCCATCCCCATTCAATCATATAACCTCAGTGTCGTAGTCGGGCATATTCAATTTTAGACTATGCCGGCATTAATAATTCGAACGAAACGGTTCTTATTTTCTTAAATACCTCATTGGAAGAAAACGCGGGTTAGTAAATGGGAAGAAGGGAGCTGAAAGACGTAACTGAAGAACACATTCGTTTACTCAAATAAAATCAGTTATGATTGGCCATGGACATTTAATTTATTTTTTATTCAACCTCAAATTCATATAAAAATCGAGCGCGTAAACAGTCTTTTAGCGTCTTAAAAGACAATGTGAGCTTTATACAGGGTTTTCTTGAAAATTTCGAATGGAACCATATAATTATTATATGATATAAGAAAAAGTGAAGCTATCAGTCAAAACCGCATTTTGATATCTGTTTCCCAAGCAGAGACTTAGCGAAAATAGCAACTTTGCAATATTTATATTTATCTAAGTTGGCTTTGAAACAAAAGAACACATAACAAGCGATAATTAAAATAATCATAAGGAGTAAAAAATAAATGATTCAAACTTTAAATCAGACAAGTATAAATTAGATAATAAAAGGAACAATAATTATAACTAACGCAAATGGTCAATCTGTCTGCCATTATTTTCGATATTCGGCCGAGTAGTTTTTTTGCATGGTGTATTTCTTTTGCTTCAAAGCAAACTTTGATGAATTATGCAATTTAAATTTGTGAATGTGCGTATTTTCGCAACAGCTTATTTTATATTTATATTAAATGCGATTTTCACTAATATTTTCACTTTTTTATCTTGTGTAACATCATAGCGTTCCATTTGAAAGTTTCAAGGAAACCTACTTTTTAGCGCATTTCCACAAAAATAAAAAAAAATGCGCTATTGTGGCCACTTTGTCCGTCCGTCCGCTCGTTTTGCGACGCTACTAGTTCTTTATCTTAAGAGCTATTGTTCTACTTTTTTCGCTATTTGGGTCGTTATGGTGTCGAGTCTTGTACCAAGGAAGGAATTTTTTCTGTACCGCTTACAAAAAAAGTTATTGTAAAAAAAACAAAAAACCGTTTTTTACATGTTTCATAATTTTACACTTTTGCCGTTTATTAACGATCCTAGAGATCGTTTATAATTTTGCATTGCTATCTGTCGCCTGCCGGTTGGTCTCTCCGTCTGTTCCTTTGTTTGTCTGTCCATCTATCTGTCCGTGTGAACGATAACTTTGTTTAGAAATGTTCGATCGCTTTTACATCTCCGTTAGTTATGAACTGAATTGCATGAAATTCAATATGGGCATAGATTTAGCCATATAATACGCAATGCCAAAAGTTGAATCGAATCGATTCAAAATTCACAGTGCCCTTTTCGCATCTCGACCATAAACCGAATTGCAAACTTTTTTACTTATAAAAGTATTTGTATGAAATTTGATACATAGGCACTATAAAGGAAAATCAAACGCCAATTTCAAAATTTGGTTTTGCGCATGCGCAGTGCCAACTTTTTTATTTATGGAAGAATTTAAACTAAATTTGATACATAGGCACTTGGGATAAAGGAAAATCAAACGCCAATTTCAAAATTTGGTTTTGCGCATGCGCAGTGCCAACTTTTTTATTTGCGGAAGAATTTACACGAAATTTGATACATAGGCACTTGGAATAAAGGAAAATCTAGCGCCAGTTTCAAAATTTTATTTTGCGCATGCGCCGTGCCAACTTTTTTATCTATGGAACTATTTAAGTGAAATTTGATACTTAGGCGCTTGCAACAAAGGAAAATCTTAGTTTATTAGTTAGTTATAGTAAATTAGTTTTAAAATTTAGGTTTGCGCATGCGCAGTTCCAACTTTCTTATTTAGAAAAGCATTGAAATGAAATTCTTCTCATAAACTGAAATTGAAGTACCACGTCAACAATGGATTGCCCATGTGCAACGCTATCTTTCATATTTGTGGCCGGATTTTTACGATTTTAACAGAAGTTGCATCTTACAAATGGTAAATGAATGCAAGTGGAAATGCGCTTTATGTAAATCGTTTACGATTACTTTTTAACCTAAACAAAACCAAAGGTACATTCTATTCCTTCAATGCGATTCCACCTTCCCTCGCCCCTCACATTTTATGAGTTAGAGCAATATGTGCCGCGTCAAAATGATGCAAAATTCATACAAGATTGCGAGTCAAGTATTTTTTGTTGGATATATTTTAGGGAAAAAAATATTTTTCTACATAATCATGAATCGTACTCCCTCTAGCGGCAAACCTAGAAAGTTTTTGGCTAACAAAATCCTTTTCCCCAGGCTGTGTAATTAACGGTTCCATAAACATGGCATATAATCTTTATTAATAGCACACCCTGTACAAATAATGGTAAATGACAAACTGCGATTACGGTGATCCTCCGTACTTAACCAACTTCGGTCGTGGCCTTCAAAGCAAACAATATTTAAACTGACAATATTTTATGTCATTGACAACGCTGGTACTGCGATATTTTTACCTCGATTTTTACTACAACGCAAAATTATTACTTTCTTACAAAACATTCCTAAACAATTAGGATCACTCAAAAAGAATGCGATTAACGTATACTATAACGAAATGCATTCAAAATTAACTGCGCAAGGAAATTAAACTGCACATTACCATTGTTTAAATTTAAACAATGACATTACTTCCACTTTCTTTGCGCAGACGCTGTCCATGTAGATGGGAATCTGTTTCGCTGCGCTGACGCTTCACGTTTTGGTTCTAATGCAAAGTTCTCGGATATTGAGCCCCGCTATGCGTAAAAAGACGAGGAGCTACGCTACGATTGGTCGACAGTCTTCGGAGTATACACGTTTTAGCTTCTTTTGTACCACCGAAACCGAAAGTAGATGTCAAATCTTCCCTGCGGAGCAATAGCCCCTCTTTTTAAGACAAAATGCAAATTTTTCGCAACCTGAGTCCTGACGCAGGTGCAGGTTTGATAGTGAAAGGGAATGGCTGAATTTCATTGCGAAACCTGTTCTTATAGAGCTCAGGGTATGGTATCGTAGAAACGGTACGTCCAGAATGGGTAAAACGACGCATATAAAAATACCAGGTTACGAGCGGGATTTGAGTTTTCCCAATTTACCTTCGGAGTTGGAGTTTTAAATTAACTTACCCTTGTAACTTAAAATACGGATGGCTAACATATACCTAATACATGCATATTCTTTAAAAAGAATGAAAGCACGTAACCGTTACATATACTGTACTTGATCAATATAGGGCTTCTATTGCACACTCGTAATCAGCGTCATTTAAGCATAAGCGATAGAAGCAGAAAACTCTACTACATCTGTTAGCAACGGTATCAAGGATTAGTTGCCAGCGAAGAGACCTTTTGTTCTCTTGGAGTATAACTGAAGTTATTATTTATCAGTGTGTGAAATGAACACCTCGAATAAAAGTAAAATTAATGCCGCTTCAAAAAATTTGTTTTGCGCATGCGCAGTCGGTTTTTTTTATTTGTTAAAATAATTAAATGAAATTTTTTCTGTAGAGTCACTCAACGGTAGAGTGTAGACACTTCAAATAAAAGTAAATTTCTTAGAACGATGGCACAATTTGAGTTAATTTGTTTTCTTGAAAGTCATGCGCATTCGATCTGAGTTTTACATCCCTATACACACCTGAAAACATAACAAACGGTTTGATAGTAAACGACTGACGTTCGCGCAGTGAAAAGGTTATACTTATAAGTATATCTCGTGTTTTATTGAATTTCAGTAAAATTGATTTAGACAATACCACTTAAAACAGAATAGCCCTTCTTCAGTTTGAATTTACCATATCATCTGCGAATAGCAAAATTTCATTCACTATCATCGTTACAGTGTTTTAGGGCATTTCCAAAAATGATGAAAAACAAAGTACCTAATACTGAACCTTGTTTAACTCCAAACAGAGTTTTGATCCAATCGTAGTGTCTCGCTGTCCTCGAAAACCACACTGTGTACCACAGAATAAGTTAGAACATACACACTCTCTTCATCTATATAAATGCCGAAATGTATGTACTTTAGAAATACTGCACCAAATTAGATAATTCTTTTTTTATAGTGTTTGTTATTATATCAGGACAAGGCTTGTATAAAAGATAATTTCCAAAAAAATTGTACGGAAAGACGTAAACAATTTTTCTATTTTTCCGTCCCTTTCAATTTCAATATACCTAATAGAAGGCGCCATTACTAACACATAATAATGAAATGTTTGTATGTCTGACTAAACCGTTCATGCGATTCTGATGAAATTTTGGGAAATGGATGGTTTCCGATATAGTAAAACACTTCCTGAAATTTCAACGGGATTTTATGGGCAACGGGAAAAAAGGGAATTTGCCAGGATCGGGATTTTATCGGTAACTGGATACGGGAACGGGAAACAGTGGGATTTCCCAAAGGCGAGGAAGTTCGTCGGGGCTGCGAATTTTCATATAAAACTATATTTCGACATCACCCAAAATAACTAATTCATCTAAAAACTATGAGGATTTATCATTATTGAAAGATTGGCGATTATTTTGGTTAGATTTAGACTAGGTTGCAACTATTTACAGTTTCAAGTTTCACACTTTTAATTACGGACTCATGTATCTGATGTTACTTTATTTTAGTGGTTGGCACTCAAAAATTGGTCCTGTACTGTTAGTAGTAACTATATATATATTCATAGGTATATGTTTTAGGGTATACTAGTTTGTGATCATCTGGTACGACATATGACTAAAGAAGTTTCTTGTTTCAGGCAAAGAACATCACTCCGACGATGACGACGAAATCCAAAGCGATATCAGCGAAGACATCAAAGATCCCAATTCGAAGAAGAAAAAAGGCGACTCGAAATCACAAAGTGCTGGAAAACCGAGGAGGGCGCGAACTGCGTTCACTTACGAACAACTTGTAGCTTTAGAAAATAAATTTAAGACGACACGGTACCTTAGTGTTTGCGAAAGACTGAATTTGGCTTTAAGTTTAAGTCTCACTGAAACTCAAGTCAAAATATGGTTTCAAAACAGAAGGACGAAGTGGAAAAAACAAAATCCCGGAATGGACGTGAACTCACCAACAGTACCTCCGCCTAGCGTTACGTCGGGTAGCAGTTTTCCCGGCTTCCCAGGTCACCATTCCCATTCCGGCTTACTCTACTCCCATCACGTACCTTACGGCGGCGTTTACCCGTTACAGGCGGCGACATCTGGAAGTTACACACCATATTTTCACTTAACTAACCACGGCCATAATTTGGGATCTTGAAAATTGACCAGTTACGACTAGGATGCTGTTTAGTGCTAAGAGTGGACTCAGGATACTTTGACCATTGTCGATTGCAAATCGACGAATTAAAATAGAAATCCCCATTAGATCGTCAGTAAACAACGTTGTACAATTTTATGAACAATTACAAAAGCGGGCAGTTGTTCCTACAATAAAATTGTAGAAAGGCATTTGTATATTATAATGACTTAAATAGGCCAAATATTATTGACAATGTACCTAGAATGTACTTAATACATAATTGTATAATTTTACCTGTAAATAATATAAAATTCGTATTATTTGCATACTTTGATTGATGGAACGCTTAGATAATATAATTGCGCATTGCTCGCAAAATTAGTAGCAAATGTGGTTCCTAATGAATCTAAAATTAGTATTCCGACGTTTATTCCTGTCACATCTTTAGTTAATTCATAAAGAATTTTTTTTTAATATTAAATATCAAAGAATACTAAATGAGTTTGTGGATCAGTTCTAGCATCTGGTGTCGAAAAGGTGCCGACGTTACGCCCAGGAACATATAACAGTTTTCAAGAAGCGACATTTGTGATCCGTCCGAAGGTGTTAACATCTTGAGACATTTAGAAATAACATCACTTGACATCTACATAGTTTTATGAACATTCTCTAGTCACGGTACTTGCAAAAACAATTACGTGCCTAAATAAACAAAGGCAGTTATTATTTAACCGAGATAATTTCGCTCGCCGTAGTTTGTCCCAACTTTTTTATGGCCAACATCCAAAGTATTTAAATTAAAAGCGATTTTATGGATCCTATAGCGCTTCGAGCTGAAATCTTTGATCTAATTTAGACATCAATAGAACTAACGCTTTTGCTTTAATGAGCTTTTCATTCGAAGTGGAGGCATGCGTGACAATGTCACTTCAACTAACTAAAGCGCTTGTTCGTTAAACAATTGACACGGGATGTTACGCTTTTTTTAAAGGCATTACAAATTCTCTCATGTTTCACGCTTACTATAACTTCATAAGCCGCAATGTCAGCAGCCTCACCAGATGGAACAGATTCTGAGATTTATTGTGCGAAATTAGTAAACCAGAAACAGTTAGACCATTGAGTAAAAGTTTACAGAATGAATCAAAGAGAATTCCTCAAGATCTGGGTAGGTATTTAGCCTTTAAAAAAACACACAAATCAACTGAACTCAAATGATGATTCATTAGTAACGGAAGGGTTTGTCAAATTAGCCACATGTACCGTTTTCTGTGTTGTCTTGGTCATCTTTTAACTGGACTAGCGCAAATAGGCACTGAGAGGAAATTACAGTAGAACCCCGATTATCCGTGCTCCAGCCTCCACGGGACCGAACTAAGCACGGATAATTGAAAAGCACACGGATAATCCAAATTAATATTTATTTCTTACTTATGAACTTGTTGTACCTATACGTGTCTCATATGTATGTACTAAAAAGGATAGAGAATTTTTATACAAGAAAATTTACCCTTTAAGTATCCAAAGTAAAATGTTTACACTAATAAATAAACTTTGCGAAAAAAACGAATTTTTTTGAAAAAAAGTCAGTCACTTTAGTCCGTGTGAAAAGTTTGGATCAGTTTTAATATTCTGATGCTGCGCAAATTTAAAATGAAACTTCAAAAATGTAATTTCAATTAAGGGAAATCACGGCACGGATAATCCACTGCCAGGAAAACCCGCGCACGGATAATCGGGGTTATATATTAATTTTTTGTGTGCACTGGTGAAATTCTTTAGGGTTTTCTTAAATTTTCTGAATTCTTTTCGTATTTCTCTGGATTTTTTCACATTTCGTGTTTTTCCCAAGGGCGCGGATGTAAACATTGACGGGGGAAGTCATACGTTTCAGATTTGTTTGGAATCCGTTTTTTTTTAACTTTGTGATATTATCCAATTTGTATTACCTTTTTGTCAGTTTTCAATCGTATCTTTCCCTGCACCGTTATTTCCAGAAAACCAACCCCGTTATTAAACACAAGCAAATCTTGGATTTTAAATTTTTAAAGCAATTACGTGACGAATATTCCCATTACACAAGGCTATACAGGGTGCTACATTGGAGTCATTTTTCGTTAAAATTGCTATTCTTCAAATTTTTGTCTCGAGAACCATAAGACGCATCATTTGTAAATGTATAGTGGGTTGGGTTGGTAGAACAGCCTTGGATGAAACCCCGCTCACTCAAAAATAAAGGCAAAATAAAAAATTAATAAGTATGTCACGTCTTTGGACAGGACATTAGGTGTGCTCTTTCTGATTTTGTAAAAATATTTTTCTCGCCCCCGTTTAGAGGTTCACTATCGGGAGCCACGAATTTTCTAAAAATTTTGACAAAGCGGAAATGGCATAATTTAATATAACGTCCATCCTTATTGACTCTTTTTATTAGGAAAAAAATAAAAAGGAATAAAGTTTTAGAGAGATTTTTAAGCGTAGTTTCCAAACGAAACATTTAATTGCGCTCCTTGGCTTATTTGAAAAACAGGTCTGTTTTGGTCCTCTTTATTAACTGGTTTTATTTTGGCACAACTCATTTGTAACACTCATGAGAATTTCTTATTGAAAAGCCGGATTGGTAGTTATGGCGCTAAGGTATTGGGACGCAAGAAATTAGAACGCAGACATTCGGACGCAGACATTAGGACGTAGACATTGGGATATTCTGATCCTAATGTCCGCGTTCCAATGTCTGCGTCCTAAACTCAGCGTCCCAATGACTGCCTCTAGTCTCCTGTCTCTAGTTAACCATGAATCGTACGCCCTCTAGCGGCTAATCTAGAAAATTGAAAATGATTTCCAGCCTTTTCTATTGGCTCCTTTTGTTTACACAATCGTTTTGCCTAAACTGTGCCATACAAATGAGCTGTGACCATTATTAATAGGACACTCTGTACTTATGAAAAATAGAACCTTTTCAGTAGTAATAATCCAAGGATATATTGATAATTGTTCAATAGGATTTCAAGGACATTGATAATTGTTCGAAAGGATTTAAATAACAGGTTTCGAAAGCTCGCTTTAGTCAGGATAAAGTTCAAGATTGGATAAAAAGGAGTACAGTTAGGATGCTGATGGAGACGAGCTAAAAAGTAAATTTTTACATAGTATCTAGTGTATTATGCGAAGCTAAATGGTCATATTTGAAGAAGATCCCTTGATGAAATCCAGCTTTTCACCGCGATAATTCGTGAACGAAGGCCAATTTTAGAATTCCGTTTTCGTGAACAGAAACAACAGGAAAAATCCGTTTTGCTAGTTACGCAGTTAGCCCTGCATTTTTTTAAAAAACAAAAAATCCTTTCAGGTGAGTTCATAGATCTACAATTCTTTAAATTGCAATAGTTTCTCAATTACCTCTTTTTGAGTTCTCCAAAATAAATAAAGAAATAAATAAATAAATATTGCATTTCATTTTTGTTCGCGGACCGCTGTACTTTTCTAAATTCTATAGTTCTTGAGCCGAGTTTGGAATGTGCTCGTTAGTACCTTTTTCCGCTTTCATTTTTCTTTACGAACACGTTGGTACGGCAAAACGTAAGTGGAGTATATTATTGAAGTCCACGTAAATTTTAAAATATAATTGTGGTGTTTAACCTATATTTTGTGGAATTCTCGAATTGGTGTTTGACCGATTTTCTACATTTGCTTATATTTTTGGAGGCAATGAAATTGGATTCATTCAATACGTAAGTGGCCGCCATTTGCTGAATTGTTCATTATCTCGTAATTTTTTTAGAATTCTCTTCGCTTTATATAAGTTTTGACCCGATTTAATTCACTCGTTGCTGAAATATTATTTTCTTTAATTAGAAGTATGCTAATTGTTATGTTCAAAGAGGTGTTACATGTTAATTCTTTTTAGGGTTCAAGTTTTGGATTTCAAGTTTGAATTTCAAGTGTTAATTTCACGATTGCGACTGACAGTTTAGTGTAATTTGTATACGAATGCAATGTCAACCTGTAATCTAAGCTAACCTGATATAACAACCCTGGGAAGGGAGATAAAGAATTAGTCAATTAGAATGTTATTAATTTTGAAATTAAGCAAGTACATCATTATTGGATAGTTCCTCTTCAAGGGTTACACCAACGTCAATTTTTTTTCTTGTACAAGTTAAATGTCATTTGTTAGTAATTCATTGTAGTCACCTATCGATACATGATATTTTATTAGCACACTCGATTATGAACCTGGTTTCAAGTCGTTGTGCTAAGCTCTTCAAGCGTTTAATTAGTTAATTACCGAGTCACGTAGCTCGGGTTGTATTTTTCTGTTCGTTTTGTATTAGGGATAATGGTTGAAGCGTTTGGAATAGAGGTTTCTTTCTACGTCAACGTTTTCATCAGTAAGAGTAAGAGTTTTTTTGTTACTTGTACCTCCAGTGTCAATGTGATTTCTATTCGTCGCCATTTTACATGTTGGGACTTGCTGTGAATGGATAGATAATTTATCACTATTGAATTAGGGGAATTAATTTGGGATTCATTGGGGGTTTATATTTCACTTTTTACTTTTTAATTCTTGCGGTAATACTGTCAGGGGTGCTGCGGTATTGCCTTCAGGAGTTCAAGCCGGCTGGCCAGAGGTCAAAATGAAGCAATTACGAATTATACAAATATGGTATTACAATGTAAGCAATCTTTTCATCAGCTGCTCAGGATCGGGTGGGCCGGTTGCGTAGACACCGTTGGATTATTTGTTGCGGCTGTCAAATAAATAAAACCACCACGTGCGATTATTTCTCTGGTGGTTTAAAGATATGGGTTGGTGGTGCGTACGCTTGTTGTAGTTTGTGGTTGCTTGAGGACTTGGATCTGGTATCAACTATTTTCGGTACCCCAACACAGGGGTGTGTTGTCATAAAACATCCAAAAGCGTCTTCACAAATCGTGACTAAAGTGCAAATGAAGAAATTACTGGGAATGGGTACTTGTGGGTCAAACTTTTCGATTACTTTGAAGACCATATCTGAAGGTCGACAATTTTTCCCAAATTAGCTAAAATGAAAAATTGCCGAGATTTAAGATGCCAGTATGGATACCCTTGATGGCAACAGAACCTTCCATGCCATGGGAGGTCTTCAGTGTATAACCCTCCACTCTGCAGAAAAGTCAGAGACAACCATCATTGGGTTATAAATCCGGAGGTCGGGTGTTCGAACCTGGGTTGAGGTGAATTTTTCATCTGTGGCGGAGATGGAAATTACCTTA